GCAAGGGCACACGCACACGTGCGCGGTGTTATTTGATAAGGGCAAGCACACGTCCTTTCTGTCATGAAGCCACCACTCCTTGAATAGATTTCGCTGCCAGCATGAGTGGGAAACAGAAACCAGTGACTAACATTTAGCGATCGTGCAGGGAACGTCTTCAGAACACACCGAGTTCCCGTCGTGTTATCGTCCGCTTCGATGTCCAAATAAAAGCTAAATTCCTTTCTATTTACCACACTTTATATGTGGTAGAAAGCCTGCCATCGATGAGATAGCACGCCACTGCTAAAGACTGACGGATCATTAACGGCGAGGTTCGCATACTAAAGTCGTGAAAACGGTGTCTCTTGATACATTGATGTATTTTGGGTGCGAGGAAGGCGATGGCTTCTACCAAAAGCGCCATTTCTTGTTGCCATACGCAGCCTCGACGTTCCACATGAAGACGTTGCTACACCATAAAGTGGAGTATATGCCCCGTACAAGTGCTGAGTGTAATACCTTCCCCACTTGATGTCGCCGTCCTGCGGCGGGCACCCGCCGTGCATGCTTCTCGGATCGTTCTCGCCCGTCGGCGCCTTGTTGTAAAAGAGGACGCCGGCGCGCTTCACTGGCTTGACAGAGAGACCGCGTGCGCACTCGGGCATGCCCGACGTCGTGGTCGTCGACGTCGTCGACATTGGAGTTCCGTACGGAAACACAGTCTCGCCGCCGTGGGCCACGTCGTTCAAGTACAAGAAGAGCGTCGCGTGTCGGTTCGGCTCGACGTACTTGAGCTGGAGCGGGTCGCTACGGAGAGCATCATTCAATACTAGTACATAGGTGCTACGTATTGTGGGACGTTACCGCCATTGCAGCGCGGGGATCCCCACGGCGTCCTCCCAGACGCGACGCCACGTGGCAAAGAGAAGCGGGTTCGTCGGACTCCACGCGGCCAGTAGCGACGACAAGAGATACTCGTGCTCCAGATGGTGTCGAAGCCACGACACCACCGCTTTGTCTTGAATGGCGTCCCGTTCAAGCAGCAGCAAGGCAAAGGACCGCTCAAACGCAGACGACAGGCTCGGGTACAACGGGTGCGTCGTCGATAACGAGGCCGTGCGACCGATTTGTGCCTGCACCCAGCGCACCCAGTGCGCCAGCGACGTCCCCGCACGCGCATGCGACGAGACGTCGAGGTGTTGAAAGTAATCCGTGTGCTTTTTGTACCACTGGCCGGGTCCGTACCGCACGAGCTGAAGGTCCTCCGTGTAGCTCACGTCGGGCAACCGTGCAAGCCTCGTCGCGCGCTCCTTGATGGTCGTTGCCCCGGCGACGTGGCTATTCGAAACGTGACGACGACACCTTTATCATATTGCAATGTACCCAATGAACGCGGTCGAGCTCGTGCGCAGAGCAAGGCGGTGGTTGGCGGCCTTGTCGACCGTGTGGGACGGCCCGAGGAGGTCCCGCCCGCCCTCCACAAGGGCGCTGCATTCCGAATCGTCGAGAAAGTCGCGCACGAGGATGACCTAATTCAGACACATTGTCTGCATCACACGTCTGCGTCAAGGCATGTACTGTTGGCGAGAGCGAGAGCGTGCGCATCGCGTAGCCGTCCGCGGTCCACTCGTGTCCGAGAGCGATGCCAGGCCAGACCCACACCTCACCGTGCAGCAGCAGATGCACACGCTTGGCCGCCACGATGCTGGCAAAGGTGGGTGCGATTTCGTGGCCCGCGTCGTCGTAGAGCGTGATCGGGGCAAAGACGTCAGGGCCCGAGACGCCAAGGACGTGGGCGGCGGCGCGAGAGAAGGGCGCGACGCAGTCGTCTCCGGGTGCGCCGACGCTAACCCACGTCATGGCGCGACCGACGTTTGCGCCGTTGCGCATGACAAAGATGCCTTCATGGGGAGCGTCCAGAACATGGACGTCCGTGGGCGACGGAGTCGAAAAGAGCGTGCGGCACAGGGACGGTGGCGGTAGCACGGGGGCAGCGAGGAGCGTCGCACCCAGAGGGTAGAGCTCGGTGGTGACCCAGTCGTAACCCGCGTACGTAGCGTAGCCAACGAGGACATGCGCGGTTACAAAGAGGGCATCCAAGAGCCCGGCGTAGATGCTCCGGGCGCCCGACCGAAGCGGGGATCGGTGCGACTTGTTCATCGCGCCCACGGTCCACAACGCAGCAAGGAATATGACTCGGAACGTGGTCGGTGTTGGG